GCGTGTCTGTGCCCCAGTTTCAGGGTGAGGAGCGGCAAGGAGATCTGCACCCAGGCCAGCAGGCCGTGGGTCAAGAGGTACCAGCAGAGCCTCCAGGTCAGCTCCTTCTCCATCCCCAGCTAGAGGTGTCCAGGGGGACATCGAGGCGGTGACATCCTCGCCGTCACCACGAGCTCCGGCGCATCCCTGCCGGCAAAGCGGCTTTGCGGAGCCCTGCCCCGCAGCTGGGCGGAGATCCCGGAGCCCCTGGCAGCCCTCGGGGTGTGGGGGTGACGGGGGAGCGGCTCCAGGGCTGTTTTTTGTACCGGAATTAAAAGTGATGTGCCCCACGCGAAAATGTGTCCGTGCGATGTCTCGGATCCCGCTGCTGCCGCCTTTCCTGCGCGGGTTTTGGGATCGGGAGGAGCCAGGGACAGCTGGAGCCTCAGCCAGGGCTCTGGGAGGGGACCCAGGGATGTTTGGTGACAAACTGTGTCCAGGAGGGCTTTGGAAACAGCCTCGTTTCTCCATTAATTTAGGGAAATTAATTCTCCAAATCCCGCTCCTTCCTCCCCACGAAGGACGGGGCTTCCCGCGTTCTTCACCCCCCACCCTAAATAACGACCCCAATTCCATCAGAGGGGATCTCGGGGATGCCTGAGATGCCACCAGGGAAGGTGACAGTGACAGCTCTCAGGACGGGGTGGGACCGCCACCGAGCCACCAGGGAAGGTGACAGCGACAGAGCCGAGCCTGGAGTGATGCAGCCAGAGAGGCAGGGGATGATTTTTGGACCAAAAAAAAAAACTCTCACGGGGCCCTGGCAGGCGACATCATCAYCCTGTGTGGTTTGTGGTGGCCACAGGCAGAGCCGAAATAAGCTCAGAGCCGCGGCCGCCCCACAGTTTCCAGCGGAGGGGCTGCCAGGAGGAATTCCCCATCACCTCTCGCCCCTCACCGGCAGATCCGAGCGGTTCTTTCCGCCCCGGGGCTGTCATGGAACGCCTGGCACKGGTTATATATGGCCGGGGTGAGGGATGGAGGGCAGCCGGCTCTGGGTGGGCTCCGGGGACAGGTGCTGGTGGATCCCAGGGCTGGACATGAAGATCTCCCCACTCCTGCTCGTCCTGCTGCTGGCAGCCGCCTGCGCTGCAACGTCYTGTGAGTAGAGCACGGAGATTTCCCCTCTGCTGGGATTTGGGGTTGGGGAGGGCAGGAGGGCTCAGATCCTTATGGGGTTGGGGGGCATCACCAGCTGCCTGAGAGTGGGGCTGGGCTGGATTTGTTCAGAATGAGTAAAAATGGGGTTGGCTTCAGCAGGCAGGGAATGGGGCTCCTACATCACCARYGGGGCTGYRGGRTRTTCTGKTTKTGGGTTCCTTKTGGGATGWYCYRTTTGTCCGTTCCTTGTGGGATGYTCTGTTTGTGGGTTCCYACATCCCCARTGAGGCTGTAGGATATTCCCTTTGTGGGGTGGGTTAGCAGGAGCAGAGCCCCCACCCCTCGTGGCACTAAACCCCGCTCCTGTTYCCAGTCCTCAGCCCCAGACCCACGTGCTGCTCCAAGGATAAGTTGTCCCGTCGGAGAATCCCCGAGTTCAGGATCCGCGAGTACCGCTACTCAGCGTCCTCCTGCGCCCTCAGGGCCGTGCTGTGAGTACCCCCAGTTCCTTCCCCACCCTCCTCGCCGAGCTCACCRCCTTCCCTGCTTTTGGGGTGTCCCTAAAACCAAGTCCAGGGTGCTGGGGGTGCCCTCACCCCGCTCTTCCCACTCATTGCTCAACCCCAAACAGCTCCAAAATCCCCCCCAAATTTCTGCTGTCAGCAGAACGGGAAGRAGGGGAAAATTGCAGAGGCAGCCCTTGCAGGGGAAATGGGGTCAGGATGGTGCAGGAATCCCACAGGGATCCCCCACTCTCRGCTGACTCGGGATATCCTTTCCTCCCAAAGAGTGAAGTTGGACCATGGGGTGGTCTGCGTGGACCCACAGCAGAAATGGTTCCAGGAGTACCTGAGCAAGCAGAAGAAACCAAAAACCCCGTCCACGTGAAGCTGCCTTCCCCCAAAAGCTCTATTTATTTATTATGTATCCCATAATTATCCCCCCCCCCCCACTGGTTCACATTATTAATTAATTTTTAATTAACCCTGGCTCCATCCCCTCAATAAACTCTGTAAACTCTGTCATGCTGACCCTCAGCTGGAGCGAGATTTTCCTTTCAATCAAGGAAAAAGGATCATTTTTAGGGTTAAGAAGCAGTTTGTGTGATTTTTAGGGACTTGATGTTGTATGTTGAGGTGGGATTGGTAAACAGAGTTCATGGGCACTG